TTATTTTTATTTTCTCATTGCCGGGTTAGAAAAGAAACAGCTTCTCAGCTCGATGGCTTCTTTCCATCCATGGTTGGGGAGGGGTAACAGGGTTGGGGGGAGGACGGGAGACGGTTATTCTTTAAAGTAGATCTTCATCTCGAAATCGGAAGCTATAATATGCCCCCTTCTGGTCTCCCTCAATTAAGTCCTTTTTTCTAAAAAGCGATTTCTCTGAATGTCGTTGTTGCCATCATCGCCATCATCATCGTCGTCCAGGTCGTTTTAATCCCCGAACGCCAAGGAAGCGATCTCATGCTTGCTTTCCGAGTAATGACCCAAATTAAGAGAGGAAACACAGACCCTCCAAACCTATTATATTAATCATGTAATCATCCGCAGCAGGCTCCAGAAATTTTCATTAAAAAAAAAAAAATCAAGAGCTTGGGTTAAGGAAAGAAGGTTGCTTGGCTGCCTCCTGCTTCTCGCCAAGCCTCCTAATGCGTTGATGTCTATTCTGCCCACAAGATCAGCGCCCGGCGCCCACGCAGTCCCTGCCGCTCCTGCCTGGCGGCCAAGGAAAAGCGGGAATTAAGCCGGACACCCTGGTGTCTGGGGACAACGTCGTCGGGACTGTTCAGCTTTCCTCTGCTTAATTGAGTGGTTAAATGCTGAGAAGCGACCACGTTTAACGGAGGACCGTTCCGAGCTAGGAGCGGGCAAGGCCGCTTCTCTCCGGCTCCTTCGGCGGCTGCAGGCGGCCGCGTTGGCCACGGAGGGAAAGTAAGTTTGAAGGGGGGTTGTGAAGGTCTGTTCAACTGCCAGGAATCCGATGCAAAACTACGCCAGTCAGACAAGTCCAAGGGAGCACAACTGAAACCGAACGCAAATAACGACACCCCCACCCCAAGTTTAAAGAGGGGGAAAAAAATCCAACGCCTAGTTATAAAGTTTGGTTAAGAGAAAGGAAACCCTATGAGTTGTGAATGAAAATGCCCACCAGGGAAATAACCTGCAAGCAACTCTGTCTATCTTTCTCTCTGCCTCTTCGCTCATTTCCAGGCCTTCAATTTATGTTATCATTTTCAAGCTAAAAAGCCTGAACCCCAAGGCTTCAGGTCCAGCAACATTATTTTCACCTCCTGTTCTTACTTACTATTTCTCTTTTACTACAGCTTTTTGTTCCCATTAATATCTCATTTCCAAAATTAAATATCCCCAGTATCACCTCCTTCATAACTAATCTCATTCGCCTTAATTTCTCATCCATTTCTCGTTCATTGGCAATCATCATTTACAGGCAATCAGAGCTTTCAAAACTTTTCCTCAAACTCTTCAATGCCAGCCTCACAGGGCACCACAGATGAAGAAAATAACTGTTTCTTCTGAGTTCTTTCAGTTGTTTCTGGGGAGGGGGGCGGTGATACCTCTACTGCTTGTTTTCTCGCTATGTAATCCAGCTATGTAAACTGCTTTGCGCCGGAAGGAAACTTTCATGACCTTTATTTACGATGGCGATGATCTTTTGCATGTTTCTACAGGGACATGCATTGATCCTGTCTTGAATCAAATATCAAGTGGATGTAAAAATCCCCGGTTTAGGGAGGGAAGGAGGGATGGATGGATGGATGGATGGATGGATGGATGGATGATTTTTTTTTCTTAATTTGCTCATCTGATTGGTCATATAATAGATAACTGATCACTATTCAGCCTTGTGAGGGAGCATAATGACCGAATTCCCTCCCCCAAAGAGCTGCTTTTCCAGGCTCTTCTTAGGAGAGGGCAAAACTTTAAACTGGATCCGCTGTTTTAAAGGCATCACTTGTACTCAGGCTGTTCTAACGTTGCTTCCATTATTGCATATATTATGTGACCTTGCTGGAAACTGCTGTTAATGTGGCAATGGACAATAGAGATCTGGTTGAGCAGAGAAAATAATGGCAACAACTCCAGATCAGGGTAGACAACAAGAACAGTAAGATCAGCAGGACTCTCCATCCTGAAAACGTTTAAGAACGGCAGGTTTAGATCTAAACGGCATGGTTAGAATCCCTCCCCAGATATAACCCAAAGGAAAACACGTATAGGGGGCTTATAGGGCACCCCAGTCTGATTCATGGGGTCCCATCAGTAATAACTCTGCCTCTGGAATGCTATCTTTGCCTCTGGCTCTGCTTGATGGGCTTCAGAATTCTAGTTAAAAACATGAAGTCCATCTCTCAGAAAGCTGCAGTCTATCCTCCTTTCCTCAAGATGTTTGCCCTGCTCTTTAATTATCGGTTTTCTAAAAGTCAGTTCAAGATTGTTTTGGGCAGAATGCATCAATAAGAACTGTATTCCTACCTCGTCAACTATTCTATATCTGCTTCTTGTTCAAATGGTCAACAGGGATAAATTTGAGTGGCAGTTTAAGAATCTGTGATGTCATGAGATGCAATAAAATAAAACAGGCAGCCACAAGAAGCAGGGCAGAAAAAGGAGAGATTAGGCACAATACACCAGATATTTCTTAATGACATTAACTTCCAGAAAGAGAACCGTTTCCTGTTCAAAGTAGCCTTTGATCTCTTCATAAGAATGGTTTAGAGCCTTGCAACTCATTCCTTGTACCAATTCAAATCTCTGCTATCAACTGTTACCATACCTGCACTTTAAGTAAATGAGGAAAAGAAAGTACTTTGTTTCCCAAAAGAAAAGAAAAAATCTGAAGTTTAATTTGATAGATTGTGCTCTTGGAATTGTGTTTAAGGATATATGGACCCAAATCTTTATTTTTGTTATCCAACATGCTATTCTGAATATATCTACTCTAAAGTAAGTTGCATTTAATTTAATGGGACTTGTTCCTTGTCAGTGTACGGGGAGCTGTTCCCCATCTGTTCCTTGTAGCAGACACAGTCAGTAACTTCTTATTAGTGATAATCAGAATACAGTTTATTATCTTTTTCTAAAGATACTAATTTTAAATAGAGAAACAGCCCCTCAAAATCATATGCACTCATCCAGATAGATTACAATTTACACTATCATGCAAAATACTTATTGAACGCTTTCAGCTTGTTCACCTTAGAGTACAGCTTCTATGAATTTTCTGTTCTGATTCCTCAAGGATGCTCAGTTCTTTATACTGGGAATGAAGGACCTGTGACCCTCTAAACATTAGTGAATGATAGTTTCCAGTATTCTTCATCCTTAAACAAGCGGGCTGAGGCTGCTAGGAATTGTACTTTATTTATTTGTTCATTTATGCAATTACTAAAGTCGCCTATCTTAATCCAGGTAACTAGCTAGGACTGTTTAGTTACCATATGCTTAATTACCATATCTAGGCTGCAAAACCCCAGATGACCAGTAGACTGCAGTAAGGAGTTAGACTTTTCTCTGTTTCGCTGATGCCCTCTAGTGGTTGTTTAGGTCTTTGCAGCCCAGCTATATACCCCAAGTTTGACAACAACTCTACATTTACCTTTACCTTGAAAGTCTTGAAAATCTTGAAAGGATTTCAATTTTGACGTTTTTACAGTAAACCCCTCTCCAACAAATTTGTTAGTCAGT